GGCCTCAGAAGTCAGTTATGACCATATCACTAGGACCACCAAACCTGATCTGCATAGAAGACTGCAGAAATGGGTTGGCTGCTGGCCCTCAGGGTCCTGCTGCCTGCAGGAAGACTGGCCACTCATAAAGGTCAATATGTGGCACTCATATCCCTGTACCTATAGGCTAGCTGGGGGTGACAGTAAAGACTGAGCATTGCCATTCACATTGCAGTCATAGTGGATGCAACTTGAACTTAACACTCACACTCAGACTGACAGTCTAATGCTGAGTTAAGTAGAAATAAAACCTTTTTCAGCAATAAATGACTGAGGGTCATTGATGTCATCATTCTATTATTGTTTTAAAGAGCATTCATGTTCAATGCTAGGCTCTTTCACTAAATACAAAACCAGTCATTCTGATCCAGACGCGTCAAGGCAAAACACATCTCAATTGTGAGTCTGTGTATGACATGTAACACACTGAAAAAAAAATTTACTCAGGCCTGGCATTACTCAGTAATAACTCATGAAGAAACTCAGTGAATACGATAGTGGTGCTCACTTATTGGCTGATCTAACTCACATCACCAGGGTGACTTCGTTATGCGTGATTTCTGAGTGCTTAGTTTCGTGAATTCGAACTGAGTCGGAAATGAGTTTTGCTTGGGCAAATCTAGTTTCCTGCGCAATGCATGAGTTCTCGCGAATTCACGTGCAGTTGTGCGTGAGGTACCCCCGGCTTGAAGATGCGCGCATGCGCGGCAGGGTGAGTGTCCTGCGTGATGCGTGAGTTCGCGTGATGAGTATTATAGCCGTTGCGTTCGAAAACCGCGGCGCGCGCTTCAGTCCGTTGTGGCGCGGTGACTCGCGTAGTTCACGTTGAATTGTTGAGGCTATTGTGAAATTGTGCGGGAGAGTGCAGGAGCGGGGAAGGCGTGCAGCGAAGGATGGGACGGGTAAGTTATCTGTGAAGAGCTCGGTGATTGTCGATGAAGCTTTTATCAATCGCATGCGCCGCGGAGAACAGGGAGGTGAACTGATGGACCAGCAGACATTCCCCGCCGGCGTCAGGAGGTCGGTGCCAACCGTGAACGGCGGAGCAGATCGATCGAGAAACTGAGGGATACCTACCCGGCATAGTTCGAAAAAGAAGAGGTGAGTTATGTTATATTTAAATTTAACCCTTGCATGTGTGCGGCGTTTTCCAGCTTCTAATGTGTAGGGGGGGGGGGGGGTCGGTTGGACCCCCCCCCCTTGCCGTTTAGCCCCTGATCGAGCTAGAGCTTCGCGGAAAAAACGAGCGTGTTGCCCGTGACGAGAGGAAGCCGATGATACCCAATTTTAAGGTCCTAGGTCATTGGTTGACCTTCCAGGTCAGGTCAATGACCCAAAGTCGGGAAAATCGGGACCTATTAGAAAGTCGTAAAGTGTGGCTGCTAAGGGGTTTTTCGGGGTACTGATCACGAATATCGTGTTAGTTTTGATCACAGATGATGTCTTGAAGCATTTAGACCAGGTCGGGTCAGGTCAGGTCAGGTCAATCAGTAGGCGTCGTGACGGGTATTCGTAGTACGTGTCAACCGCCTCTGACAGCTTCGTAACATGTTACGAAGGCACCAAAACTACTTCGTAAATGTTCAAATGGTTGTTAAATTCGAATTCAGCTCCAAAAACTAGCCTAGAAACATGTAAAACTCGAAAAAGTGAACCGAGGTCACCCGAGGTCACCAAAGGTCAGTGACCTGACCTGACCTTCAGGTGACCTTGACACCCACCCTAATGCATGGGAGCAACATCAAATCACATGTTTGAACGTTTGAAACCACGAAAAGCTTGCAAACGCGCGGCTAATGCGAGCCGACGTACGCCGAATCGCGATTCCGGCCAAACATGGTCTCGGAAAAGAGGTCACAGGTCAAAGGTCATTTGGGTCAGGGTCATGAAAGTTGTAGGGTAGGTGTAAAATTGATCAATGCGATGGTATTGAAAGTTTCGTCGCGATCAGCCGCTTTTTACGCGAGTTATTCGCGAAAAACCATGGGGAAAGGGGGTCAATCCGACCCCCCCCCCCTACACATGCGAGGGTTAAAAAAACATGTTTGTGGGATAATGTTGTCCTTATCCTAAAAGAACGTTCATTTGACCCTTTTTACTTCTTTAAACAAGAACTCCGTCACGACCCGATGTTTTTTTTTTGGGGGGGGGGGGCGAAGGTGGTTTGAAGTCGATTCTTTCCATGCAGCACCCATAGGCACAATGTTAAAAATGTAAAATATTGGGGGACACGTCCCCCGTACCCTTCCCCCCCCCCCCCGGTGGTGGAGCCCATGGTCTTAATTCCGCTCGCTGAACCGTTTAAGATTCTTTTGTCTCGTTTGTGCTTATTATTTTTCCACTGTTATTATTTTTTCCGACTGTTTTTTTTTTTAATGCCTACACACATATTTTCGTACACTATTCGATTTCAGCGAGCATTTTCAACCTTCCTTACATATTAGATTATTAGATACCGCGGCGAGACGCGTTTGGACGTGACATGCTTATTTCCATTACTGTTAAGTATAACACATTTTATGTGATTGTTTCAAGCTGATTTTAATATTGGACGCCCATGGAAGTGTTTTGCGAGACTAAAACCCGACTGTTAAGGTGACCATCCGACCTTGACCCGCGCTGTGCTGGGTGGCGTTTTACGCCCCCCACCCCGCCCCCTCAGGTTTTTCGCGAATATCTAAGAACGGCGGCGCGCAGCGCCACCATTTTCGGCACACCTGCTCATACATTTGTTTCTCCATGTGAAGAAATTTTAGACCCAGGTCGTTCAAGGTCAGGTCACGTCAAATGACTTAACATCGGAAAAATTTCAATGGTCGCTGACGATCGCACCGTTCGCAACGTGCCATGGAAACCGTTCGATATTTTTGTCATTTTCGCTCAGGGAATTCACCGCTCGATTTCACACCAGTTTGAGGTAAAATGTCAAAAAAATATCGAACGGATTTCATTGTATAGCGTTTTTGATACTGTCCCATCACCATGTCTCAAGTATCAACCTTACGGCATGTACATATAAAATATATTTGCTAGTGCAATAAAACACCTCATATGTGTTCAGCTTGACGGTTTGGATCGACTGATATGCAACATGACCTGGTCAGGTCAACCTAAGGTCAAGTTTTAAATATGGCCTTTCAAGGTCTAATTATAGTTCATTCGTCCCGACGAGAGGAACACTATGCTAACGGCAAAATAAATGTCGTGACTCTTGAGTGGAAAGTATTACAGAAAACATTTTGGTAAAAACGGCTTTTTTAGAGTTTTTGCTCTCTGGAGGCTTAATTGTTGACCCTGAGGTCAAATCTGAGATCAAACGCCAGCAAAAAAAAAGTCGAAAGGGCATTGACTGCATTTTTCCGCGGGCAGCTCTTTTGGTTCCGAGTTAAGCACCAGTTTTTCGAAAATATTGAAATAAGCAAAATTTGGCCTTTCCTGACCTCTGGTGACCTGGCACTTGACTTGACCTTAAAATTACCCAAGTATTTCCTTAAATATCTTTAATGCTTTTTCGAAAGCCGCTTACGGCGTGTTGCTACGTGGCCCAACCCCAACAGCCGAGTTAGAAGAGGGGACGTGAAGACGACCCCCTCCCCCCAGTACATCACGGTAAACTCAGAGCACCAGCACGGCGCGGTTTAACATTAATTTTGAGCTGAAGTAACTTGATAACTTTTGATATTTCAATCACCTTGCATGCCCTATAACTTCCGTTTCTCTTACTGGCAAAAGAAAATCTGACTTTTTTTATTGTGTTTTCAGGGAACGGCCCATTGAGCCTCCTCTGCATCTTGGCGGAGAAGGCGTCAGTGGTGGCGTACACGGGTGACGAAAATTTGGATCACCCCTATCATAACAAGTCCGAAGAAAACGAACGGTGCCGCCTCATCGTGGAGCGAACGGAAGTCTTGTGGGGATCCATGGTTTGGAAGGGAGTCTTTTGCTGTGGGCGACGGCGCACTTTGTGCTCAGTCAACAAACGGCGCACAAAGTGCGAAACACGCTGTGGTTTGTGTGTATCCATGTGCTCCACACACCATTCAATGCTGAGCGCCAGCCACCTGTAGCCGCGAAGACTGAGGTCGAGAAGCTGGCAAAAGAGTGAAGCTGAGCTGACGTGGAGTCGATCCCCCCCCCCCCCGACGCAGTTTGGCGTGTGTCAGAATTGAAATACAGCGCAATGCGACCGTTTCTACAAACATGTATTTCTTGTAAGGGCTGGGGCGAATAGTGCAAGACTAGACGTTGGTCGGGCATGGTATAATACAGATATGTATGCTGGTTTTGGGCAATGATTCGTTATATATTGGCCAATCCCAATATATAGACTAGCTGCCTGGTAGTGGCTGTTGTATGAGCATCATGCATGCATATTGCATAATGCTGATGCGGCAGCTGTTATCATGGGCGGCGAGCCTATACATTGGCTTGAGCCAATATAAAACGAATCAGATCAGCCGTTTCAGGCGGCGCCTGAGTAACACCCGAGTATCGTATGAGTTATCGACGTGAGTACGTCCTGAGTACAGCCCTAGTTTTCACTGAATAACCGATGAGTTCCAACTGAGTTATGGCCGTACTACCACCTGAGTTATACATTAGTACCAGCTGAGTTACATGTGAGTTACTTCCTAGTTTTTCATGAGTAATGACTTACTAATACCTGAGTTTGGCCTGAGTTGTCTGAGTAGGACATGAGTTACGCATGAGTACTTACTGAATTTTATCTGAGTTTTACCATCGGACAAAATGGCAACTCACTTTGTTACTCACATGCTACTCACTTGCAATGAGTTTTGCCCGAGTTTTACCTGCGTTCCGCCCTGAGTTTTACCTGAGTACGCGGATTTAGAGTGAGTTTTACCATTGGACAAAATGGCAACTCAGTCATTACTCAGAAAAGTGAGTAAAATTTTTTTTCAGTGCAGTTCATAAGGACGCTCAGTAAGCTAGTATCTTACAGCTGAGGGTCGAAGAATCAGTCCTGACAGCTGCTTCAAAATGTTCATAGTGACTGTGGAAGGCAAACTTGAACTGAAATTATGCAAACAGGGTCATGGGCAGGGTCAGCACAAAATATAAATTCAGCAAATAGCAACTACAAATAGCAAATAGGTAACTTGTCACTCCAACACTTGTGCACACCCTTACACTTTGGTGGGCGGTCACCGACTTGTCTCGAGCGATGATGCTGATCTGACTGAACTAAGCTGATGTTACATAACACACGCTTGACACGGTGATTTGGCCTTGACTTCCGAAGCAAACGGCTCCCTCGGCACGGTTGGGCACGGTAACAGAATGCCTTCGATCTTTTTTTTACCGGCCCATGGAGAAAGGAATATGGTAGCGATTCCTCGCTTCCAATTTCAACATGGCTGCCTACATGTCCGGTGTCCGGCTTTTGCGTCTGGGGAATAATTTAGTCCAAAAGCAATGTTCAGTCATCAAACGGTGGCAAGGGACCGCCCACACCCTAGCGGTTGAAGAGCAAATCAAGAAAAAGCGTGCTGAATCGCTGCAAGGCGGGGGTCAGAAGCGTATCGATGTTCAACATAAAAAGGTGAGTGTCTTCGGTGCGTCATGAATGCATTAACACGCAAGAGATCCTAATTTAGTGTGTTTTGAGCGCAATTATTTGAAGAGCAACTTTAAAACAATTCATATGTGCTTTCCATGCAAATTTATTCAACACTATGTCAGTAGATGTGTTGTGCTAACCTTGGGGACGTTTCATGCCCCCTCGGCTTGAATTTCTACCGACTGTATGCACATTTTGATCAATGTTTTACCATTGCACTTCATTTAAAAATGAACTTTCAACTGGAACATAAAACATGATCTAAAGTAACATTGCATAAATTATAAGAAACTATTGGGCCTCATGGTGCGTAGTCATCCACCAATCCACCTCCCAGTTGCTACCATATTAAGTCTGAGTCATCTAGCAGCCACAGTTAACAGCACCTGGCAGTGACAGGGTGGGACTGTTAGCCCATAGAAGACCTGGCCCCTGTTAGGAGTTGCAGTTTGCTGTCTACACATAATAAGCTCTGACCCCAGTGTCTACCCTTCAGTGTGATGTCATCATCTGGTAGGTAGGTCCAAGCTGAGCAGGGGCGGATCCAGAAAATCTCCAAGGGAGGGGCCATTAGAAACCAGGAGGCCCCCCCCCATAATCCCACCTGTTGGAGGCCCCATCTTCCCACTTGTTGCCCCCCCCCCCCCCAAAAAAAAAACTGCGTCTATTGAGCTTATCTAGCTGTTCAGGCAACATCTCAACATCTGTGCAGGCTTGGAGGCCCTCTGTGCAGGTTAGGAGGCCCTGTAAAAGTGGTCATCTCTGTGAGTATAAGAGACCTCCAAGTTATGAAAAGCTTTACCAATCTTCTAACAAAGAAGTCTTCTCAGCTGGTCTTCTAAGAAATAACTAAGTGGGTAGGTTAAAAAAAAAAAACTCATCGGATTTCGGCCACTTTATTTTCAGGAGGCCCCCTTTTCAGCTTTTTAACTTTTTAACTTTTTATTTTATTTTTGAAAAAAAATCGGCCAAGGGGGGCCATGGCCCCCATGGCCCCCCCTTGTATCCGCGCCTGAAGCTGAGGCTGTGCTAATGGGGTGCTGCTGGCTGCTTATAGGTATGGGACAATCACAATTCAAACCTAAACAAGTTGGCAATAAACATCAAACAATATCCCAAAACTTGTTTAAGGTCTCAGTGGATACCTTGTCATTGTAGCTGAAAACTACATCACTTTAACAGGATATATATTCTGGGGTTGAGCTTTGTGCTTCAATCTTATGTCAGATGTGGATCAAGGGAGGAACAGGGAACACATAATTATCAACAGACATACTTAATTCATTTTGGGCTCATCGCAACACCACTCGTTTTATCACAACTGACACAGCAGACTGGCGTCACGATCACCGTTTGTTGGGTGTGACCGGCTGCGGGGTCACCGGTTTGAACACAAACTGTGAGACGTGCGAGACGCGGCGCGGCACCGGCGACGGCTGCAGGTGGCCGACGGGCGGGTGCCAGGTGGCCGACACTGAGCGCGCCGGCGAGTGGGCCGGCGACACGCGCGGCGCCGTGCCCGCCGTCCGCACGCGCAGCGCGTCGTAGTCGCGCTGCAGCTGCTGGTACTGTTTGTTGCGCTGCGCCAGCCGACCGGAGAGCTCCTCGGCCTGGCGCTGGCTGGCCTCCAGCTCGTGGCGCGCCTCCTCCAACTGGCGCGCGCTGCTCGCCAGCTCCTTGTCCAGGTGCGTCTTCATGGATGTAATCTGAGTCTGCCGAGAGGCCATCGGCACCATTTGAAGAACTGTACGACATGGGTGAATGCTGGTGGTACAGTACAAAATGAATCAAATGGAATTGGAGCGTCGTGTCACAAATCACAATGAGTCGAAATTAGAATATCAGCTCGATAACCCGACTTAAAGGCATCTTTGTCTTACGCTGATTTCCAAGAGTCAATGTAGGAATACCTACTAACATTTAACGCTCATCGATGTCTATATCAGCACGCCGATCCCAGTTACCTGCAGCTGGCGGACGTTTTTCTCGTAGTAGCGCTCGAGGTCGTCGAAGCGGCGTCGTCCCCGGCTGACGGCTGCGGCCAGGTAGGCGCGGTCCTCGGACATCTGGTACATCCAGAAGGCCAGCGCCCGGCCGGCCACGTCGCAGATGACGTCCGGCTTCAGACCGGCCAGCACCATCGACTTGAACCGCTCGCTGGGGTTCACCTCGATCTGCCGACACGGGCGGCGCCATTACGGCAACTGCGGGGAACGGTGTTCATGCGCCCTACCGCCCTGAACTGCTTTGCCACTTATCGCTTTTCCTCATGCAATTCTTTCACAATATGCGCCGACTTCTAACACCTACCGTATTTTCTTACGTAGCGTACCTGTATGACGTCTAGGCTGTCGTTCAGGGTGGTGTCGCAGGCGGGACACTTGACGGGCGTCTGGTGGACGTACTTGCCGCCGTCCTCCTCGCAGAAGGCGTGCAGACAGCTGGTCACCCACGCCCTTGACGTCAGCGGACGTCGGCACTTATTGATGTTGCACACAAGCTCTCCTGACTCGGTCATGGCTAATGTTTCAAACAGTGTCTGGATGTTGATGTTCTGCGTAGCGTCAATTCAGTTCTTCCTTTCTCAGTTTTTAGGCTTTTTCGGCGCTCTTCAATTGAGCAAACTGGGATAAAGAGCTCAAAAGTCAATCGTTTTGTTGGCATTAAAGGAAATAGTTCACTTTTTAACATGGGTTTTGAACTGGAATAGCAGTTCCGTAGCTTGGGCTGAGACGAGCATAAATCAGGAGCTTTTACAGCCCAACGATCACCCTAGGCAAAGATATTCTATTTCTCGTCCCGAAAAAGGTGTCTTGCGTTGAGGATGTGTGCCTTGCATATATTTCCATCCAGTATGAAAAGAGCATGGGTCCCGAAAATTCTTCAGAAACTAGAGAAATTATCTACGAGAACTCTAGAGAAATTCTCGTACTGATCAATTAGGACATTCAGGGGAACATTATCAGATCGAGCAGATCGCCCAAATGCCGGTGGCTGCGATAATTTCTCTGTTTCTGAAGAATTTTCGGGACCCATGCTCTTTTCATACTGGATCGCGTGTGCCTTACAGAAACTGAAAAGTTCTTCCTATATCAAAATATAGAAAAAATCTTTTGTTATAAAAAGGTTTTATTTTCTTTGCTGATTATTTTGAACATAAAAAATAATAAATCGTTGCAAAAAAAAATAATTTCGTGAAAGTGAACTATTTCCTTTAAAATCAGAGTAGAAGTACCATTTACAATGATTAAAAGTAAACAAGGGATGTGGAGCCGTGGAAATTTCAGACGGCTCCGGCTCCGGCTCTGGGTGAAATGTCATTGCGGCTCCGGCTCCGGCTCCGAGTAAAATGGTCCGGCTCCGGCTCCGGCTCCAGTACTCAGTACATCCCCTATGCAATTAAATACGGGTGGAAGAAAAAAGACGATGGGATTGGTACACGTTGCTTCTGGATTTGCATAACAAGGCTGTTTTTGTTTTTAAGGCCTTGGCTATTTTCATATTTTGAATACCACATGTTTTACTGCCTTGTACTGTCAAACCGAACTAGGTCAATAAATTTTTCCTCTTCAAAAAAGGAGCCGGAGTCGCCCCCCTTTTTTGACGGCTCCGGCTCCGGGCGGCGGGCTATATATTGTTTCACGGCTCCGGCTCCGGGCAAAATATGCCGGCTCCAGCTCCGGCTCCGGGCTATATTGTTTCACGGCTCCGGCTCCCGGTAAAATATGCCGGCTCCGGCGGCTCCGGCCCCGGCTCCGGCTCCGCACCCCTGAAATAAACATTAAGTATTTGTGAACTCAACAATGACACAACAGGTTCTAGCAACAGTAGCCACGCTGACCAGAAAAAAGTGTTTTCATGGGAATCGTAAGGTGCCAATCACTGAACAGTGAACCGTAGATAGTAGCTAAGCCTCAAATATATTTTCAGGATTGCTGGCCCTGACATCCTTAGGGGAACAGTAGTATGAACAGTAACAAATATTTGTTTTTTACCTGTATTTAGGCACTTCTTTTGTAATCATAACGCACAATTTAAGTACAACAAATGCAACAAAATGTCAGATATATGTCGGAGCATGAAGATGATAATATTCATGGTATCCTTTCATCTCGTTTTATAAACAATGTTCATGTTGCATTCAAAGCACTCATTTATAATACGACTAGGCCTTCTCAGTAGGGTACAGCGGTAAATATAAAAAGGGCAGCTTGTTGCACCTTGCACACACATTACACATTTTATCGCCCCGCTCTTGCCTCTTGCCTCGCCCCCCACGACTTTCCACCGGTTTGTTTACGTAATTTCCGTTTTTGTATTTATTCCACCGGAATTGTTTTCTTTGAAGCAGAAGTCGGCAACAGCTGTAAAATGTACCTTAAAGTTTTTCCTCTACGCACAAAGGATTTTTTTCTTTCACTTCAATCGTGAAGAGGGTGTTTGCAGATCATAAAAGTTGATTATGTGAGCAAAATATATGGTGTTTAGTGCCGCTTGAAATATTGTAGCAGTTACGGCGTCCGTAACTGCTGTGCATGTTCGTATATTATTCCGGAGTTCCGGGTAACTTATAACCCAGCCCCCGTTCACGAGCTTCAGAATTCCTTTACCGTGACGTCATCACGGCGCATGAATTTTCCTTCACCCATAGAAATGCATGCAAAGCATGGTGTGTTTCAGGCGGGCTAAGGAGAAATCTAAGGCCTACATGTGTTCAAAAGACGTACCACTAAGCCAATGGATTCGTCTCATTACGATAAATGGGGTTGAAATCGAAACTTTCGGCCTATATTTATCTAAAATGGGCCAATCAAATGGTCCCTGCAACTCATAATGAAGGATTTCCTCTGCGTTGAAAAATTTGTTTTAATTGTTTTTTCATCAGCGACAGGGGAAATCCTTCATAATTGCTACCAGATTACTACCATATTCCCTCGCATTTCTGTTGCGCATTGCCTCACAAATCAGAGTTTTGTGAAGTTTATATTAATTTAATTGTCATATTTTGACTGATTTTGGCGATTTTCAATTATTTCAACGCAGCATGGATCAGATAGCTCTCATAGTTTGCTGAAGAATGTGGCTTTTGCTTGGTTATTTTCAAGTTATCTGTGATTTGGTGCGCCGTGATCGTAGCATGATACAAATTATATCAAATTGAATCAACTTTTGAAGTGAAGTTCACATGAAAAATCAAAAGTTCAAGCATAATAATTGTTTAAACATAATGATGCAACATGTGTCTCCCAGATGGAACTTATGTTTCAATTGAAAACTGAAAATGGAAAACAGAAGATGGATCTGCGGAGTTACTGAGATCACAAGGTGCTCTCGATTGTTGGTAATTGAAGATGTTGAGAGAACTTGTGAATCTGCATCCCAGTCCTGACTTGCTTGATTGTTTAAAACTATTTTAATTCTCATAATTGTGTAATGTGTAGTGACTGTGCACACTGCGCAGCACATGTGCGCAGAAATGTGCAGGTGGCTGGTAGGTGGGTTAAACTTCGGAGATGCGAATTTGGATGTCAGTTATAAAATTAATGGTTATGCCTTGTAGAGTAAGCTCTGCTGTTTTTTTTGTTATTGTCTTTTTTATAATTGTAACCTACAATGCTGTTAGTTTCATTTTTATTAAAATGCTCGACCAGAATTTGCACTTGTTCATGCATGAATGGCTAAGTTTGGGGTGTTTATTCAACCCTGACTGCTCAAGTTTTTCAAAGGCACATGACACAGCACGGCTAGATCAGTTGGTACCTACCTGTTGACTATTTTTGTTTTTGGTGGTGATGTGTTTGCTGTTTGTCTTTTGCAAGGTGGTCAATGAAATAAAATAATGCATTATTTTGGAATGTTTCCTTGACAGAAGCCAGGAGCCGGATTGATGTGTGCTGGTGAATGAGATGGTTCAAAAGCATTATCTGATGTTTTTCAATGTGCATAAGTCATAACATCCCTTTCATACGCTGAAGTTTTAATAGCTTGTCAGTCTCTGTCATTTTCCTGAAATCAAAATATTGGTGTAGATACCTAAGAGATATCAGTACCTTCTCAGAAGTACCTGCCTTCTGCTGGATGAATATTTAATTGGTAGGACGAAATGGACAGGTAGCCTTATGATAATGTGATGTGAAATCTTATTTCTATAAAACTTTGAAAATGAAGTTCTAATTATTCATATGTGCATACATTTTTGATGACTAAGAAAGTTTTCCACAAGAGTAGAAAATGTGGGAAAGTCTATCAAATAACACATTCTGAAGGCTCAATGCTGACAGAGTGCTGCCTCAAAGAATAACTGACTTGCTGGGTTACGAATATTTCTTTATTTTAATTTTCAAATGTAATGTACAATACATTGCAGTGAAATAACAAAATAGTGCAGTAAAATAGTATTGGCGACGATCAAACAACACGTGCGCCATTGATGTCTGCAAAAAATGCTACCAGATTGCTACCAAATCCGTGACGTAGCTACGGCGCCTTTATTTCCCTAGTGAACCAACCTGAGTAGTAAAGTAATCTTGTTATAACCGATCCATGTTGACCGTGTTTTCGTCGGCAGGGTAAGCTCACGGCCCGGGAGCGGATCGAGCTGCTCTGCGACGCCGGCACCTTCGTCGAGTACGATGCGTTCGCCGAGCACACGTGCTCCGATTTCGGCATGGCCGAGCACCGGGTGGCCGGCGACAGCGTGGTCACCGGCCGCGGCTCGGTGTTCGGACGGCCCGTGTTCATCTTCAGCCAGGACTTCACCGTGTTCGGCGGCAGCCTCAGCAGCATACACGCCAAGAAAATCTGCAAGGTCCGTGCTGAGACAACGTGGGCTATCTTTTTTCAATGGATATTTATCATAAAGTTGCATAAAGTTATCATAAAGTAGTCTTTTGAAAGTTTTGTATGCATCTGAACTCATATTTCTTTACGTTTACGAATTTTTTTACAATGCATTATGATCAGGGTTGGAGATTTGTTATTTAGTCATGCCATTCTTCCTACTAACGTTGGATTTGGGCCCCACTACTCTCCCCTCGATCCGAACGGCGCCCGTGCCGCTGACGTGTCCGGTTCGTCTCCAGGTGATGAACCAGGCGCTGCTGACCGGGGCGCTGCTGACCGCTGACCGGAGCTCTGACCGCTGACCTCTGCCCCGTCTGTCGCCAGGTGATGGACCAGGCGCTGCTGACCGGGGCGCTGCTGACCGCTGACCGGGGCTCTGACCGCTGACCTCTGCCCCGTCTGTCGCCAGGTGATGGACCAGGCGCTGCTGACCGGGGCGCCCATCATCGGGCTGAACGACTCGGGCGGCGCGCGCATCCAGGAGGGCGTCGAGTCGCTGGCCGGCTACGCTGACATCTTCCTGCGCAACGTGATGGCCTCGGGGGTGGTGCCGCAGGTCAGTAGGGTGGGGACGGGGTCCCGCGAGTCAGTGGGTTAGCTCCCTCAGGTCAGTGGTGCGGGGTCCCTCAGTTCAGTGGGGTGGTGTCCCTCAGGAGTGTTGGCGCGTCAGATCTCGGTTCACCCTGCCCGCGGTACCGTCTGTTTGCCCAGATCTCGCGTCAGCTAGCCCATGCCGTGTAACATCTCGATCTTACCCGCCCCGCGGTGCCGTCCGTCCGCCAGATCTCGAGCTGACCCGCCTATGCTGTGTCAGATCCCTAATCTCCCCGCCCTCTCGGCGCCGTCTGTCCCTCAGATCTCGATAGACCCACCCATGCCGTGTCAGAACTCATAATTACCCCGCCCTGCGGCACCGTCTGTCCGTCAGATCTCGATGTATCCGCCTATGCCGTGTCTGATATAATCACCCCGCCTTCTCCGCGCTGTCTGACCGCCAGATATCGATGATCATGGGTCCGTGCGCGGGCGGCGCCGTGTACTCGCCGGCGCTCACCGACTTCACGTTCATGGTCAAGGACACATCGTACCTGTTCATCACCGGGCCAGACGTCGTCAAGGTAGGGCCGCACGTGGTAATGTAGGGCCGACATGGCCAAGGTAGGGCCGTGCTCGGCACGCGAGCCGGTGACCTGGGCCTCGTTTCATAAAAGGAATTACTTACGGCGTTCCGTCAATTATGCCAGATTTGGCGTATTTGATGCCAATTCGGTTTCATAAAGCCGGAGACCGGAGTAATTCACGCCATCGAAATTACGGAGCTTCATTTACGGCAAATGCTCGATTCCGGACCAATTGATGCCAGTTGGGTTTCATAAAACGACGTAATTAACGCCAAATATTTTATCAAGTTCTTGATATCAGTGGAGTAAACTACGCACAAAAATGTTGCGTGAATTTGAATTAATGTGAAGATTCGAAGCTAATTTTTAATATATTTTATAATATTGAGCCCAGTGAGGAAGAAAGAACAGCCAAAATGAGAAAAAGAAACTGCAAATCTTCTGTACCAGTCGCTTTTTGTGGCCACTATCGGAATTTTGTTTATTCGCCGCGCCGCGCCACTTTCGTAGTTAGGCACTTCTGCTTAGCTGGCTTTCTGCTGTTTTCAATATGTGGATTTAATAAAGGATGGTTATCAATATCAATGTTGTTTTTTCATAAATAATTTTTAAGATTTAAATTAAATATAATTGTTTTATGATTTCTCGTAAAAAAAGTAAGTGTTGACATGAAATTGTAATTTGTAGGACGCTTGATAAATTACGGTAACTACGCAAATGTGCATAGTTACGGAGGTGTAAACAATTCCAGTTGTGGCTTTGTGAAACGGCTTCATTTGCGCTCCGTAGTTTGAAAGGGTGTGAATTACGGAAAGGTGTAAGTTACGGCAGAGCTTTATGAAACGAGGCCCTGGTGGCATCACTGTGGTCAACTATGGTCCACAGGCGTATTGAGACGCTACGTCTGCGAGACGGATATTTTCAGCTATTTCAGACGCGCTTTGTGGATTTTAAGGCCATATGTCCTTGTGCTTAATTGATCATATTTGTTTCTGTCTGGAGATCTCAATGGTGGAGTTTGTGACAGATTTAGCTCCACTAGCGTCATGAGCTCGATTAGCCGTTTCTTATCGTCCACATAAATATGAACTCAGACTTCATTTCACTGTTCCGCGAGTGATCGTGCGCTCCTCACCCCCTGTGCTGACCTCTGGTTGGCCGTCGGTTTCAGTCGGTGACCAATGAGGACGTGACGTTCGAGGAGCTGGGCGGGGCCAGTGTGCACACCTCCACCTCGGGCGTGGCGCACAACGCGTTCGATAACGATGTGGACGCGCTTCTGACGCTGCGCGCGCTCATGAATTTCCTGCCGGTGAACAACACGGAGGCGGTGCCGGTGCGGCCCTCGGACGACCCCTGGTTCGTGCCGGGGGTGGCGCGGGACGTGATACACACGGGTGGAAGCTGGGGAGGCCTACGTGGTGGTATGACAGGGAATCGATGAACGTAGCGCTAGACAAATAACAAACGAGATGAAGGATTGAAGTTCTGATTAAGACATTTTTCAAGAGTCTTCAATCAATTAACTTTTACGTCATTTATGGTTTCAACCCTCAGGTGTTCAGTTCATCATGAATTTGATATTTTCTATGCTTTCAGTTTTTTTTTTCTTTGTAGGCCCGTTGAGAGGCCCGTTTTGTAGGCCCGGTCCCTACCGGCGCCCTTCTGTGCGGGTGCCCGCAGGGACCAGCCGCCCTGTCCCGGCTGTTTGTCCGTCCCGTCCCCTGTCTCGACTGACAGTTCGTGTCCCCCCTCCGCAGGGACCGGCCGCCCTGTCACGTTGTCTGACCGTCCCGCCCGTCCGTGTCTTCCCCTCCGCAGGGACCGCGACGTGCCGGGGCTGGACACGGTGGTGCCGCTGGATCCGATGGCCGCCTACGACATGCACAGCGTCATCACATCGCTCGTCGACGAGGGAGAGTTCTTCGAGCTGATGCCCGCCTACGCTAAGAACATCCTCATCGGCTTCGGCAGGCTCAATGGCAGGACGGTCGGCATCGTCGGCAACCAGCCCAAGGTGGCCGCAGGTCCGTGCCGTGCGGTGTATTCGTGGATTTACAGGACTTCCGGCTTCCAAACCGACCCCGAATGTCCATGTGTTTCCCTTTGAATGACAGGCTTTCGGTTGATGTTTAAAGGCGGAAGATATTGCTACAATGTGGAACTCTTTGTATGAAGTATGAACGACTTTACAATAGTTTCAATTTCACATTCGGAATATATTCCGAGGAAACTCTGATGTATCGACAGTAAATCGCCTCGGCTTGGGTCTGATGCAATCGGACTTCAGGAGAACCCTCTCCTTTCGGTAATCGACTCTCCACCTGACCCCTCCCTCTCCCCCGCAGGCTGCCTGGACATCAACTCGTCGGTGAAGGCGGCGCGTTTCGTGCGCTTCTGTGACGCGTTCGCCATCCCGCTGGTGACGTTTGTAGACGTGCCCGGCTTCCTTCCCGGCACGGCGCAGGAGCACAGCGGCATCATCCGCCACGGCGCCAAGCTACTCTACGCCTACGCCGAGGCCACTGTGCCCAAAATCACCGTCATCACGCGCAAGGTAAGGGCGGTGATCAGCTGGGTAACGGCAGATGAATGCTTGTGTCTGGTAAACTTCAGGAATTAAGTTCAGTGGGAACGAGAATGCTGTTTTTCACTTTGAACTGTATGTGTCCAGACGAGTTACGCAAATGAGTGTTTTCAGACAAGTAGGTATGGTTACATATTAACCGGCATGCGTATCACGACTCGTGCTATTCGCCGTATCCTCCTGCCGTTATCCGACTGTCGTATCTCACGCCCGCCCTCCGCGGGGCCTCCCCACGTCAGACTGTAGTTATACCTCACACGCGTCCGTCTGCGGCGCTCCGACAGGCGTACGGCGGCGCGTACGACGTGATGTCATCCAAACACCTGCGCGGAGACACCAACTACGCCTGGCCAACGGCCGAGATCGCCGTGATGGGCGCCAAGGGAGCCGTCTCCATCCTGCACCGGGGCGACCCGGACCCGGCCGCGCGCGAGGCCGAGTACACGGCCAAGTTCGGCAACCCGTTCCCGGCGGCCGTGCGCGGCTTCGTGGACGACATTATCGAACCGCGCCACACGCGGCGCCGACTCTGCCAGGACCTCGAGAACCTCGCCGGAAAGAAGCGCAAGAACCTCGAGAAGAAGCACGGCAATATTCCGCTCTAATCGGCGCCGTCCAGCTCGAGGCTGGGATGGTGTCAGTGCGGGGCCGGGGGCTGAGGACGAGAATTCCCTGTCGTGGCGAGGGTCGGGTAGGTGGACAATGTTTGATGTAAGCACGGGTCAGTCTGTGAGTATTTGTATCAGGACGTCGGCATCGCGTCCCGCTCAGTCGAATCCAGCGTGAAATGTGATAGGTGCCCGGTCGACCGGTGGAGATATTTCGAACCCTCATTTTTCTAAGACAGTAGCGCGGCGTGGGGTGGGAGCCGTTGGTAATCATGTGTGTCTCACTTAATCATGCTCGTGGCTAGCAGGGTGGTTTGCCGGGCCATACGTCCTTTACGTCCTGCCGGGCCATCCTGTGTCCAGTATAGTCTATTTTGTTTATGACGTGTCGCGGAAACGAATCCTCTGTTGTGCAATATAGAACGTAAGGCAACATGTCGATGGTGCGTTTGCGTGTCGATGGCGATTATGGAGCATGTCCATTGCGATATCGCTCCGTCCTGTTTCTCCTTCACACGGCCTTTGCTCCCCCTCCCCCCCCCCACTCCATCGGTCGAGTATCACGCGGTCCGCGACGTTGTCCCGTGTCAGTCGGGCTATTTTCGGCCCCGCCCGCCTGCCAACTTTCAGACGCCCACGTCACCCGCCGACACGCCCGCCGACCCCGCGTCCCTCGCCGAGCCTCCACACAGCCCGATCTCGACTCCTCACACATATATTCACATATTGACCGCACAGTTCGCCCCGTCCACAATATTATATCTACAGCGGCCGTGCGGCCGTTCCGCTGCCACCCCCGGCCGGTGCCTGCCGGGCGGCGCAGCACTCTGTACACTCACACAGTCTCCGCGGCGCGCACCTCACTAGTTATACTTGGACTCGCGCTGCTTGGCCACCGCCTGGATGCACTTTGCCATGGTGGGCGACGCTCGCGAGATGGTGTTGGTCATGTAGAAGTCCTCGAGCCGGACCAGACTGGGCGCCACCGGCGAGGTTCCCTTCGACTGGGCCGACACGCTCTGCGAGTGAAAGGGAACGAGGTCAATGGAGGAACGACGGAACATGGTGCAAATACGAACACATGAAACGACGCTGGGTGACACTGGCTAACAGAGTGAAACAGGTAGACCTACAAACTCGTCAAAAACACGACGATTGCCTTATTTTGTGATATTCAGCCACGCCCGGGGGAAACGAATGTTGAAAAACCCACTCAAATCAATTTCTGCCCAAGGGTTGATCTTAGCGCTCCGGCTACACGTTACATAACCACTTCTCATGCTAAACCTTCACGCTTTGTCAGTTAATGCGACCACGGCTAGGTGGGGGCTCTAAGGTAAGTCCAGCCCGGCTGATAGACCCACATTCGCTGCTAAACTTGGCAGGTCAACCCCAGGCTGCTGTAAGGCTATTCGCCCATAACCTTGCCTACACCCAGCCTGATCAGAGGCCCACACACTCCTTAGCTAACCTTGGCCAGCTCTGCGGCCTGCGCGAAGTAGTTTGTTTCCTCGACGTCCCCGTAGCGTGTGAGGTTGGGCGAGATCTCGGTCATCCGGCGGCGCAGCTCTGCCAGCGTGTCGTACGGCAGTCCCTCGCCCACCACCTGTGGGTCAAACACAGGTCAGATAGGATCTGTAGGGCAGGTCAAACATAAGACAGCCACTGGAACCCAACGGGTCGGTCCGCTGGGTAACGGCGGAGGTCGAACGAGTCAGATGACGACCAGGTCCCGAGTGTGACCGTGAAGAACCGACCAAACCATTCGCATGGGTACACCTCCCCGTGATTCCAGCTCAAACACCAAATGATCAAACACGATTTGTTACGACTTACCTATTCTGTCCTCTCCCCTTTCAGATCCCTCCTATTAACTTGACTGACCTCTGAGAGGGCGCGGACGATCTTCCAGTCCTCGCGCGCCATGCCGGGCGGAGTGACGGCGGTCAGCGTCTGCTGCGCGCGGCCCTCCGTGTTCACGTACGTGGCCTGCTTCTCCGTGTAGGCGGCGCCCGGCAGCACGATGTCGGCCGACGCCGCGCCAGCGTCGCCATGGTGACCTGAGAACGGTCAGTCACGTGAGCGGGGAGAGGGGAGATGGGGAGAGAAGCCGCACGCTGGTGATATTGCTATAGATGGGACGGCTGTCGGCTATTGAAAATAAAAGAACAAGTGAGGCACACTAACAGCGCGCACAACTGAATGAAGTGGACTGATCGGCTCCTCCACCACCGCCTATATCGTTGACGATGCACATTGCACACCAATATTGCTTCACGTCCACAGACTGCCCAGGGCTCCGTTCCTACTGCCTAGCCTAACTAGTTTCCTTCAAGCCGAAATAAGCATGGGCAATGCCCATCAATCATCATCCACTGAAGAAGATAGCTGTTTGCGTTACATACCGATGTAGATGACGGTGGCGTTGTCGGCCAGGTCGCTCCTCTCCACGGTGCCCTCGTCGGCTCCGAGCAGCAGCAGCGCCTTGGCCTGTCGGCCGCGCGCCGCCGCCGCGCCCGGCCGGTAGCCCAGGTCCAGCGCGGCCGCCTGCGAGGCCACCCGCTGCAGCACACTCAGCACCCGCCAGCCGTCGGGCGCGGCGGTGGCGCGCGCGCGCAGCTGCTGCGCCAGCTGCTGGGTGAGCGCCAGCAGCTGGGCGCCGTCGGGTCCGGCCAGCGCGGCGGCGCCCAGCACCACGATGGGCTGCTGGGCGGCCGCCAGCCGGCTGCTGAACGCGTGCTGACCGGACAGCAGCTGGCGCACCGTGTCCAGAGAGTCGCCCAGTTGCTGTCGGACGATACGGGAGGGGCAGAGTCAGACGGGAAACAGGCGCGAGCTGTCCAGCAGCCATCGGCAATAAAAGAAAATGTCATGATAGAGGCAATTGCTAGGAAACTTTCCGCGCACTGAAATGAGCACCACGTCGAGATTTAAATAAGAAAAACTACGTGCCATCTCTCACCACCAATAAGACTGGGCCCAGCGCCCTACACCCGCCGGTATCAGACCGACCTCGGTGGGATAGTTGAGCTCCAGCTGCGGCCCCACCACGGCCACCTGCAGGTCGTTGTTGATCCACGACTTTCTGATGCGGGCGTTGAGCAGCGGCGCCTCGTAGCGCGGGTTGGCGCCGATCAGCAGCACCAGGTCGGCCTCCTCGATACCTGGCGGGTGGCACGGAACGGCGGTCAGATCACGCGACATGGAGCGGAGGTAAGCTCACGCGGCGGAGAGGAGGGACAGCTGTGGTGGGAGGTCGTACCGGCGTACAGGTGCTATCATATGACCTCCAGGGGAGTGTCGAAGTGTGCGGAGAAACACACGATCATGAATGCTGGTGGTTTTTACGATTTCTGACTGATCTGGTTTTCCTTTTCACAAACGCGTTTCACAACAACAAAGACACGAATTACACGTCACCCTTGTAGAAAAGTTACGTAACTATAGCGAAGATTACGCAACCCACGTATGTTACATAACTGGAATATCTAAGACATCACAGTACATCATAAGTCATAACGTCGGAAGCATTGTGTTTTTTATGATAATATTGAAAATATTTACAAACCTTGCTCGCTTTTTCAATCTAACAACACCACCCCATCGCCCCTATACAATAACTATACACCCGCAAACAGACGAGCGCTGAGCCGATACGGCCCAGCTGGCGTGCGGACCTGTGATTTTCGAGTTGAGCAGGTAGTTGGAGCGCAGGTCGGTGCCGGAGCCGGCGTTCGGGAACGTCTCCTCTGTGCAGAGCGCCTCGGAGCCGAGCCGGTTCACCAGGTCCTTCACCGCCGTCAGACACTGCGGACACGGCGGTTAACTCAATATTGACAGCGACACCCGTCACCCACACATCTATCAGCCTGAGGACTGTTACGCAGCTAACACACAGGCAGATTACCGAGTCATTCAGCGCCGTCAGACACTGAGGGCATGGCGGGAAATTAGCGGTCACACTTAATTGATGGTGTTTGGTAGCACGGGAAGATCATGCGAGCTTTCTGAGAAGTGCTTTTGATGATACACTTTTATTCGAGACGCGCCGCTGAGTCGCTGCCACGGTATAGCGTATCAGATTAGCGTCCCACGCCGCGCGCCGCCCTACCTCGGCGTCGCAGAGTCCGCCGGCCACCACGGCAGTCTTCTCGCCTGACGCACGCAGCGTTTTGGCCGTGGCCACCAGGGCGTCCTCCCACTCAACGGGCTGCAGTTCGCCGTCAATCTGAGGCAGGGGAGGGGGTACGGGGTCAGACAATTAGATACTGCTATATCAAGGCGTCCTCTCGCTCGACCGACTGAAGCGCCGGCAAAGTACTGAAGGGGACGCGCAGATGGGACCAGATATAACGTCCCACAATACGTACTCGTTCTGTTTTCAACCCTCAAACCATCCCTCGCTCTGCCGTCCCCTACCCTATTCTCCCTGCCCTCACCCCGGACTCCTGTCCCACCTCCTGCCCCGCCCCCTCCCTCAGCTGCCCTTACCCTCAGCATGGGCGCCACGAGTCGCTGCCGTTTCAGCCCTTAGCCATCACCCCTCGTTCCCTCCCACTCTACTCACCCTCAGCATGGGCGCCACAAGCCGCTGCCGCTTCAGGCCGTCGTACGAGAAGCGCGCTTTGTCGTCAATCCACTCCTCGTTGATGTCCTGTCGACGGCGCACGGCGGTCAGCCAAAAGCAGAGTCCGGGACGGTCAGCCGACGGCACAGGGTCCAGGTCGGTCACATGGACATATTATAGTAGCATTATTCCAGCTCTGTTTGTATAAGGACTATTACAGGAAGGTAACAAACAAATGGAGGCATTGAAAATAGCCAGAATCCCCCTCCACCGGGCTCCCCGGCACCGCCGCCGCGGACTCGCCTCGTTCATCCTGGGCAGGACGCGCAGCACCTCGCCGGTGCGCGTCGACACGACGATGTTGGAGCCGACGGCGTCCATGACGTCGATGCTGTCCGTCTTGCGCGTCTCCCAGGGGCGGGCGGTGAACGCGTACGGTTTGGAGGTGAGCGCGCCGACCGGGCACAGGTCGATCACGTTACCAGACATCTCCGACATCAGCATCTTCTCCACGTACGTGCCCACCTGAGGGGGGGGGGGGCGGGAGGTCAGCGAGCGAGGTCAGTGTGGGACCGAGGGCTGGAGTGAGACATATAGCCGAGCGGAAACACTATTGAGAATAAGGCACGATCCAGCGCGCAGTGACCACCATCCGACCCGTACTGAGCTGCGCGAACTGCACACTGCCACGCTGACCTGATCCAGCCAGACCCACACCCACAGCTGCTGACCTACACCTAATGCCCCCTCTGACCTACCTTCCTCCTCCCAACGCCCTCTGACCTGCATGTCGCCGCCTCGGCCGGTGGTGCCCAGGTCATCCACGCCGGCCACCTCGGAGGCGAACCGGATGCAGCGCGTGCAGTGGATGCACCGAGTCATGATAGTCTTCACCAGCGGACCGATGTTCTTGTCCTCCACGGCGCTGGTAGGACGTGACGGAAGAACAGAGAATAGAGGGAGACGGGTCAGCTGACACACAGCGAACGGGGACTCGGGTCAGACACGCACCGCGCTGGTAGGTGACGGACGAACAGAGAACAGAGGGGACGCGGGTCAGCTGACACACAGCGACAGGGGACGCGGGTCAGACACAAACCACGCTGGTAGGTAACGGACGAATGGAGGACAGGGGGAGACGGGTCAGCTGACACACAGCGACAGGGGACGCGGGTCAGACACAGATACACGAGACGGAGAACTCACAGGCCATGGGCACTGGACATTGGACTAGATTCGGCACAATGTCAGCGGAATAGCGTTCAATGTCCCTCTGGCTGCTAACGGCTCTTAAACGCAAACTTGGTACGATGATGAGTGGCTTCTTTGGTAGTGGACCAGCGCCTACATATAGTTATAGTCTAAAGCACACAGATTATATCAACCGCACACAACGATCCTTAGTGATAAAAAAACATCGGCAAATAACAGGCGCCGTTACTAATATCGACAGGGTTATCGACATTGTCGACGCGTTATCAGGCGCGGTTACCGTTTGCCGGTGAAGGAGTTGTCTGTGAAGCGGCTCTTGTCCGAGCCGAACGCCATGCTCTGGTCCTGCAGGTCACACTCGCCGCCCTGAGCACACGGTACAGAAGAAGTCAGAACGGCGCCGTAATACAACAGTGAACTATAGGACCAGTAACAGCCAGAGACTGAACCCCACTCGCCGCCCTGAGCACACGACAGAGGGACATTCGTCACTCAGTTAGCTGGCGCCGCTGTATCACTGTGAACTAGAACCAGTAGCAGCCATAGACTAATGCACAGTCGGGAAATATCCGATCAGCGAAACTTGGGAACATTGGAAACACCGTAAAAATTGAGCGAGCCTCCATCGAGAGAAGTGTGGGGGTTCCTCGCGGTGGGAGATACCACTTATCAATATACTCCGATCACCGCTAGCCTCACTATCACTAACATCACATGGTAGCAGGTGTGAGGTTACGTATCAACATACCCCAAACACTGTCAACATCACCTGATCACAGATGGGACAGTCCAGGGGGTGGTTAACCAGCAGGAACTCCATGACGCCCTCGCGCGCCTTCTTGGTCATGTCAGAGTTGGTCTTGATGTTCCAGCCCTTCATCACGGGCATGGCGCAGGCGGCCACAGGCTGAAACACAATCACCAGGCGTTGTGACCGAGTGTTTTACATAGTGTTACATAGCCTCAATGGCATAGTGCGTATTGTGTAAAATAGTGACATCGATTTTCCGCTCAACATTGACGAAAAATACCTGCAGGACGCAGGAATTCACAATCATGCTCAATTTTGATACACATCATTTAAAGCATATCGTTAAGTTCACATTAGTGTGAAATACTTATCAGATTAGAAAACAGCATCGCAAATAAGACAGATCGAGGACAATCATAAGTCATTTAGGGGAATGGCAAGCATTAGAAATCGGTTAGATTCATTGTTAATTTAGCTGTAATGGGCGTCAGACAGCCTTGGAGATCGTAGCCGTTGCACGGACGCTCGGCTGTCACCTTTCATATGTATGACGGCTGTCATTGGTACTATAATTACGGCTGTCAACATTACTATAGCGAGTAGCGACTGCCACCGTTACTACAGCGGCAATCGCCGTTGCTATAGCGGCAACTGTCGCCGTTACCATAACGACTGCTGCCGCCGTTACTGTAACGACTGCTGCCGCCGTTACCATAACGACTAGTGTCGCTGTTACCGCCGTTACTGTAAAGACTGCTGCCACCAATACCGTACGGCGAGCGTGCCTATCTTGGCGTCACCATACGGCGAGCGTGCCTACCTTGGCGGCCTTCTCCACCTCGACCAGACACATGCGGCAGTTTCCGGCCACCGAGAGACGGTCGTGGTAGCAGAAACGAGGAATCTCGATGCCCACCATCGCTGCCGCCTGTGAGGAGAGCACGGCATCAGACACATAGTCACACGGTCAATGGTGAATGGGAAAGCCGGGCAGAAAGGAGATCTTAGTGAACCTGGTGGCATCAGTATCACGTAGCGATAGCGTCATACAGCTGTGTTGAACACACCAACATTGTGCCGGCTGCTTAGCATATACGGTGAACGAGATCTCTGGTTCCCAGTGATCTGATATCTCGGCCACCGTACATGCTAAGCAGCCGGCACAAAGATAACGTTATGAACAAACTGGATAGGTATTAACAGAGCGAACAATGAGAATAGTGAACAGCGCGTCAACAACACTGATCTTCATAGTACAGCGGACTTGTGACGAACTTACTACAGATGGCCAGCCGTTACCAACGCCATCACCAGGATACGAGATACCGGAGGAGGTTCGTAAATTAAGTGGTATGCACACGATGCATCGTATACCAAGGTTCGTAACGGTTGGCACAGCAAAAGGTTCGTATGCAAGGGTTCGTATGGCATATGGTTCGTGCGGAATTATAGTGGCTTAAGTTCATGACGGAAACAATTCGTGTCGGATAAAGCTCATATGTCTAACGTTAGAAGGGATAGCTTGTAAAGTTCGTTTCTGAAATGTTTTGTAATGGACATTGTTCGTATTAAAGGTTTGTAGATTACTGAATATACAGTGGTGCTTCACTTCGTAATACACGCATTAAAGCACGGCTGTTTTTACATTTCCACTTTCCAGGTTAGGTAAACTTAGGTAAGGTTAGCTTAGGTCAGGTCAGGTCAGGTCAGATCATGTTGGGTTACTTTAGGTTAGGAACAGCTGCAGAATCGATGCCGCACGAAGCTGGAACGGTGTTGGAGACCTGGTAGATTTGTGACCATTGCGACCATTGCCCAGAACCAGGATAAAGCTGATAGTGTCTATGAAATGTCTTTAATCCGTCCGGCGCTTATATCTACCATATCCGAGCATGGTCAAATACATCCTTTTGCATACGAACGCCATCCGATAAGAACTGTCTCCGTTACGACGATAAGAACTGTCTCCGTTACGACGATAAGAACTGTCTCCGTTACGACGATAAGAACTGTCTCCGTTACGAAGTAAGAACATTATCGTACTAATATTGTCGTCGGTTATTATATACAAACATGACCGTACGAATTATCCGTATGGACCTTACAAACCTTATAGCATTATCCACATCGGCGGTAACAAAGCCGCCAGCTAGCCTTACCCACCACCAGTCGGCGGTCCCTGGTTCACTAGCTGACCGCACCTGTCACAACTGGCCCTGCAGCCTATCCAGCCTACGGTAGTCCGCTGACTGAGTATGCTGTCACCTGTCCACCCCACGGTAGTCCGCTGACTGACCGCGCTGTCACCTGTCCACCCCACGGTAGTCCGCTGACTGACCACGCTGTCACCTGTCCACCCCACGGTAGTCCGCTGACTGACCACGCTGTCACCTGTCCACCCCACGGTAGTCCGCTGACTGACCACGCTGTCACCTGTCCACCCCACGGTAGTCCGCTGACTGACCACGCTGTCACCTGTCCACCCCACGGAAGTCCGCTGACTGACAGTACCTGCAGCACCGTGGTGCCCGGGTCTGACGCTGGTCCGTACCTGCAGCACCGTGGTGCCCGGGTCGACCAGCACGCTCTGGCCATCGACGAACACCTCGATCTTGTCCGGCTGGGTGCCCTGCTGGCGGGCAGAGCCGGCTGACGCGGCCCGCAGCGCCGCCGGCCGCAGGAGGCGCGCGATCGCAGGCGCCCGCAGCATGGCTCACTCTGTGACCACAGACGAAATGGTCACAGAATGAAGACACGGACTGACACTAAGGTGGCAATAAGGAATTGCTATTCAGAAAAGATAGACAATCAGATGTATGCAAACAGATGTCTTATCAATGCTGATTAAATATGTTTTCTTATAAAAACAGCATGCATATTGCATAATATGCAAACAGAGAAATTTTGTGCTTTTACTTTCATTTTTTCACCTTACTTCACCTATCTCAAATTGGGTGTTGTATCTGAATCAGTTCTGCACTGTCTAAGGTGGAAGAATCTGAAGCTAAGGCTACACTTCGTGTAATTCTCAGGAAATTTCATGTGTGCCTTGAATTTCATCTGATTTTATGTGAAATCAGTTCACAGATCAAATTCAGCAAATTTAAATTGCATTCTGTTAGCCAAACTGCTAGTCAAGAAAATCCCAGATGGCAGAACTTTTTGACCTAGGAAATGCCTAGCATCCAGGAATGTCAGAAGGGAATGCTGGATAATCAGAGTAATCAGTAGGCAAGGTACTGATAACCAGCTTATGACTGATTTTCTTTTATGCAGAATCTGCACATTTATGTGACATGGAACAGTTGCTAGCACACTTAGTTAGTGCAAAATATGCATTATGTATGAGCCATAGTTACATTACAACTGTTCATGCTAGGTAGCTTAGTCCTTAACACACCTAACCCTTCAAATATTTTTTCTTGCATGCAAACATGTGGTGCCCAGCCATTCTTATTAGGCTTTTGGTATGACTTTTTAATGATCAATCAGAATCAGGCATGGAATATCTGATGTAGGACCAGTGTGCATCCAGTTTTGCCTACAAGTAGTTCTGTGTAGGTGCACAATCCAACTCAGATGGGAATCCATTTCAGTTGTTAACGATTCATACACCAGCAGTCAAAAGGACTTCCAAAGTCTGCACCCTTCAGACTACTGGTAACTACTGGAGTTGAAACCAAGCTCCTGGATTTTTAACTTAAAATTAACATTCTATTAATATTTCTATGGACAATTAAAGGATTAAAATGCACCAATCAGAGAAGGAAGAAAAATGAGGTCAAACTACATATCAGCCAGTATAAGCTATAACATTCTAGTGCAAAGCTGTGCTGATACCAGAAAATAAGGCAAAAACTGATATAAAGGGAATCCTTAAAGTATATCTCAATTATGCCAAAATGTACAATGACATAATTTAGATTCAGCACCACATCCAGTTCACCAAATGCTAACTAAAACTGTCACACAGTTCCAAGCGGCCAGGCAGAGGCAATGCCCAGTGCATTGCCTGATAATTGACCCCGGGTGCCTGCAAAATGCACAGCTCACGCAGAATTTCCCAGGCAGTCAATGCAGCTCCTAGCAAAACTGACAAGTTTAGAAATCCTATCAAATAGATACTGAAGTGAAAATTAATTCTTAGCAATTTATTCTAATGATTAGGCACAGAAAACTATTGTCCCTTCAACAGTCTTTATTGGTTTAAGAGAATCACAGACATATTTAACTCATAACTGAGCAAAATAGAACTTATACGACTCTCAACCCTTCTCAAAGTAGAAAAATAATAAAAGCGCCTCACAGTCTTATACAAGTCTTATATCTTTTTTTTAACTGTATTTAGGGCTTTGATACTGAACTCTATAATGGGCTTTGATCAAAACTTTGTCGCCATAAATGTCGCCAATTCGGTACTAGCTAGTACATAGAAAAGTATATTTTAATACGCTACACCTAGCGGGGCGTTTGATAACTATGTTTTGATGTGCAATTTTTGATTGCTGTTTTTTCTTTAAAGAAATTCTTAGCTTCAATTTGAAACAAAAAAATATTCTGAATGAGCAAAACGCTCGAACAAAAACAGTATGACAAAAAATAATTTTCTTAGTCCTTCACATAGCTTACATAATAGCCTTGGTCCCCTACATATACACGTTCTTATTTTACATCATAGTTTACAATACTAAAATTTAGGTGTATAACTACATCTAAAACTGATTAAATATCAAAAATAAATACTAAAAATTTCTGAAATTACCTTTTCATGCAGTATTATTGTGATCAAAATAATAATATTGAGTATTACATCATTTTTACCTCACTTAGTACCGACAATTTACGGCAATCCAATTTGTTCGCTCCTTTTGCGGCTGGCCGTCTTCCCCGTGACGTGTGCTCCACGCCTCACTCCCTTATTTTCTATATTTTTGCCATCTCGCAAGCAACTAAAATGCAGTTTGGCGACCTGAAATCTGAGGCTGGTCTGAAGAAGCTAAATGACTATCTTGCAGACAAGAGTTACATCGAGGGGTGAGTTTAGCCATTAGTTTAGTTACGAAGCGGCAAAACCTGCGCTCTTGACACGTTTTAAGTTAAGGAAGCTGAGGATATATGAGTATTGAGGCTCTATAGCTGGACTTCTAACCACCATGAGTGCAGACCCAACCATTCAAAACTGCCCCTAACTTTTTCACTTGTCTTGTGCCCTTTGCAAGCTACACTTCAACTTGTCCACACTCTAAGAATGTAGCAAGGGTAGTTGAAAGTGGCGTGCAAGGACAAGCATGAGGGCTGTTCACGGGCCCTGTGTGCGGTCGGACAAACTACAAGCTCCACCCACTGCGTCCCTCAACAACTAGCCTTCCGTCACTGCACACGGCAACCGCTGTGGCCGCTCGGGACGGGCCACAGTTGACCGTCCACCGCACGCAGCTGTGACGTCAGAACTGCCTACCCATCCCCTACCCCCACGCCTGCTGCACACACCGCACACACTGTACTCAGTAGTTTGCAGTGGCCGTGAACACCCCTCAGGCACTGCGGTCTTGTTTCAGTGCATGAAAATATGCACCTCAACCCTATTCAGAGACATAACAAGGGTATTAATATCAATATTGTTTCATAAAGTCAATGGTAGCTGACAAGTCTGTTAAACCATGATGTCGGTACTTGGTTCTATCAGACCTAGGATGGTGGCTACAAGGGCAGTGGTTGGGGGGGGGGGGGAAACTTGGGATAAGCACAATTTTAAAAATAAATAAATAAATCTCCAATTATTTTTAAAATTCCAAACATGGGTTTTTCTTGCACTACTGGACAGTTTCTTAAATGTCAAGTTTTCTTTTTATTCGGTATTGTTTGACATATTTATAAAATCTGATGGCCAATAGTTGCAAACCAAAGTGATAATTATAGGCTGGTTCTTCAAGGTGGGTAAAGGCTGGAGGCTGGTTGCCATAGTTTTGGTTCTGTTACTTGCTCTAAGAGACAGGCGAAGCTGCATCAGCAAGTATGTTCTCAATTCAGCTAAGACCCTGAGCACCCCAAGAAGTGTGCGCAGTGGCGTGCCGCAAGGCTCCATCCTGGGACCAGCGCTCTTCCTTATCTATATAAACCATCTAGCGACCCAGCTCAGGTGTCAGTACAAGATTTTTGCGGACGACTTGAAGGTATACATGTGCATCACCAAACCTGAGATCGACATGTCGAATTTTCAGTCTGATGTCGACGTACTGCACACAACCGCATCATCATGGGGCCTGAGCATGAACCTGAAGAAATGCGCCGTCATGAGGTTCCAGAGACGATTCCATGCGCCGCTGAGACCCACCTACTTCTTGCAGGACGAACTGCTTCCCTGGACACACTCCCATGTGGATCTGGGAGTCACTGTCGATGACGACCTGAAGTTCCATGGGCAAGCAAGAGGTGCAGCAAGGAAGGCGGGTGGAGTTGCCCACAACTTTCTGAGAGCTACCCTCTGTAGAGAGCCGGACTTCATGGTTCATGTCCTCAGTACACATATTCGCCCTGTCCTTGAGTACGCGTCGGTGGTGTGGAACACTGGTTTTGTTGAAGACTCTAAGAGACTCGAGGCAGTGCAAAGACTCTGGACTCGTCACGTCAAGGACCTGAAGGGCAAGACCTACGAAGAGCGGCTCAGATCACTCAACCTGTACTCTGTCAAGGGACGCCTACTGCGGGCAGATCTGATAAAATGCTGGAAAATATTCAGAGGACGCTGTCCGATAAAACCGGCAGATCTCTGGGACATTGCAACCGACCATCGCACCCGAGGCAACATGTACAAGATCAAGACTCGTCGCTGTCAGCTCGATACCAGGGCGCGTTTCTTCTCGGAGAGAGTTGTCAGCGAATGGAACTCTCTACCCAATCAGGTCGTTAACTCGGAATCCATATCCGAATTCAAGACAAGCCTGGCAGAAGCTCTAGGCAGCCGACTGTTTGAATATGACGCATGAGGGCGTCACGGTGGAAGCTTCAAGCAAGTAGTCCACCATGTGAAGCTCATCGAGTCCAGGCAGACAACGAGCAATGTCTCAATTAAATCCTGTGTCACATTCCCGAATATCTGTTAGCAGACGCACTATTCCAGCTCTCACGTGTACCTTACTCCATCTTACCGTGGGAGTATTGGCGCGTCTCTGCCATTCTTGGTTTCCTTCCCATCCCCATGCATTGGACGGGACGTGGAAACCTAACAGGTGAGTCTAACAGGTGAGTCTTGGTCTCTGACTTCTGAGACAGTTTCATGCTACTTATTGAGTAATGAAATTGGCTGCTTTCAGGATACATTGTATGTATCTTTGGAGCTAAAATAAAATGCATATCACTAAGCATTATGGAAAATGTAGATGCCAGATAACTGACTCCCACATGACACATCCTCGAAGCTACAACCACATTGTCACTTAAGGTGAAGGTCACCTTTGTCCTTTAGCTTAGTCCTTAGTCCTATCCTTGATTCCATAGCTGAGAGTGTATTAAGATATGACATCAGCAACAAAAGGAACTTCAAAACAACAGATAGAGTTATGAGGAAGGACAGAGGCTGGATGAAGTAGACTCAAGAATAGACCAAGACCTCTTAAAGTCCATCAGTAAACTCAAACCCATAAATGTAATTTTGTACTGTGCACTTCTGGTCTGGCCATCATGCAGCTTTTAATCTGTTTTCTTACCTATATCCTATTTTACTACACTGATGCTGCCTGCATATTTTACCCTGATTACACTTTGAAGTTTGAACCTTGTCATAGATTAGATGTTTCAGACCATTCTGCACGCTTATAAAAATATATAAACAGCAAACACTTCATTTTTCTAGAATTATGCTTTCCCATATTATTCTACACCCAACCCTTGGCTAGAAAAAAGTCAATTGGTTATGGCTTGCAGGCTTGGCTACTTCTTTCTGAATGAAAATATGTGGACTTAAACATTCTTCCAAGTGCATGGATTTATCTGTTTGGTCATTTGATGATTCGATGTGATGACTTCAATTATTATGCTTCTTAATTGTATGAAAATAGCCACTTGTTTGCCCATCACACAGCTGGACAGTGGACTTGTGAATAACAGTTTTGGGTTACACTGGAAATGCTATGTTGATTGTTGAGTGTCATTTGAAATTGTATAGAGCTTGAGTGAACCATTTGCCATTCAAGCTGCATGTTGCATAAGTTGATTGAAGGCTGTGTTCTCCCCAGATACGGCCCGTCGAAGGCCGACACCGTCACCTTCGAGGCGCTGAAGGGCGCGCCGCCCACCGGTCTGCCGCACGCGCTGCGCTGGTACACCCAGATCAGCTCGTACGGCAACGAGCGCTCCAAGTTCCCGGGCAGCGCGCCGTCGGCCGCCGCCGCCGCCGATGACGATGACGACGTGGACCTGTTCGGCTCGGACGACGAGGATGAGGCCGAGAAGGAGCGCGTCAAGGCCGAGCGGGTGGCCGCCTACGCCGCCAAAAAGGCCAAGAAGGCCGCCATCATCGCCAAGTCGTCCGTCCTGCTCGACGTCAAGCCCTGGGACGACGAGACCGACATGAAAGCCCTCGAGGCGGAGGTCCGCAAAATCGAGATGGACGGCCTCGTCTGGGGAGCAGGTATGTATCAGTGGCTGCGCGGTGAATGGACGTATGGCTAGAACTGCTCCCAGTCAGCCGTGGTCTCGGTCTAAATCGACTAAGCTGCAGTTAATGTCGCAGTTTGATTGGCTCGGTTCAGCGATTTACGTAATCGTCTATGACGTGGCATCCCTCATGCAGCATCTATGACTTCAGCATCAGCAGCATAGAGGCCGTGTAACTTGACCTCGTATTTCTGTGTTTCAGGCAAGCTGGTGCCGCTGGCGTTCGGCATCAAGAAGCTGACCATCATGTGCACCGTGGAGGACGACAAGGTCTCCATCGAGGAGCTGACCGAGAAGATCGAGGCCAACGAGGACTTTGTCCAGTCGGTGGACATCGCTGCCTTCAACAAGATCTAGCTGCCGCCACCGACCTCCGGCCCAGCCGTGGCCGAGTCAGCCATTGGTCCGCACTGTTTTGAAAATATACTACTGTTCTGTCAAAATATACGCCTATTTTACAGTGTTTTGTGCTGTTTCTGAGATGCAATGCTAGTGAAGCCGTTGAACTGTTTTCCTTATATCGAATGCGTGTTGGTAAACGAATATTCGAGGCATACCGGCAGCACCGAAAGAAGCATGACTAGACAACTTAACGGGGGAGAGAGGACAGAGGTGGTCGGCACTCCAGTAGAACATTTACCGAGGGTCAAACGAGTATCGTGAGGTCATGCGCGGGGCCTTAAGAGACGAACTCCGTGGCCCTCGAATTATGATATGGCTTAAATTACAAACTGCCACAAAAAAAAAAACATTCGCAGTGAAACGATAATCACTGCATAGAGTGTGGGCGGCCGGCCGTGAGCATGCTCCAGACGCCTCAACAACCGCCTGGCCTAGTGACTAGCTGTCTTCCACGTTCCGTAGTTTCACAACTAACACACTATACTGCGCATCAGATCACTCGTCTAAGCAATCTGGCACATTACTGCACGTGTCATGCGTGTAACAACTCGGCTATGACTGGGCCGGCTGCGCTGAAACTTTCAAGATAGGCGAGCATCCACAGCGAATGGCTATTGTACATGATTCCAGATTATGTCACGTCTCGTGAAAACGTGCATGAACCATTTCCACAGGCAATTAAAAACAGCTGGGCCGAAAACTTTTCGGTGTACTGTCGTACAAGTATGTTTGGATACGGTCAGAAGAGTGGCTCGCACAATTCAATAAGGCTCTCGCTTCTCGATAAATTCTTCGCCTCGGCGGGGACTAGAGGACTTCTAGTACAAGTATATTCAACATATCAGCAAAGAACGCATCGTATTATACACAGAAGTAATTACTATTTTGGTATTATGTGAAATGATTCTAAGACGATAATTTCATTTTCTTTTCAATTATGTTACATACTTGGACGGCCAACAGTGGCAGGTGTCGCCACATATTGGTTTAGGTGGGCTCAATGATCACTCCATCTTCCACCCACCCCACTTAACCGGAGGCACCACTGACCTCTAATAACCATAACCATAATATAATATATAACAAAAAGGTTACTATCGATGTCAATGGTCAGCACTCTCCCATCCTGGCGACACAGCACTTCGGTTTCACTCGCACAGCAGCTCGACCGCACTGAATACACATATAAACGACAATGCGCCACCACACAGCGCGCATAGCACGCCTGAGGGCGAGGAACGTACACCGTCTGTCGCCGAGTTACCTCGCAGCAGCGGAACAGTGTGCCACGTCATTAGCGCGGACCAGTTTCACTCCGTCGACAAAGTTCAACACTCGCCTGACTGGCACGCTTCTACGCCGCCTTCGAGGAGAAAGCCGGTGACATTCGCACAGTTTCGTCGAGTTTGGCTTTGAAGAGTTCGCTGGTGATGGGTTCGGCCGGTTTACACTCCGGGTTACGTATCACATACTCAACGTAGACCTGAAATATACGGAGCGAGACCGCCACAAGTTAACAGGCGGAATAGATCGATCCGATCGATTATCTGTTCGTACGGTGGGAATCCCATGGTAGGAATGGAAATTCCTACGGTAGGAATCCTAACGTGCAAGGTATCGACATAGAGGGACAGGAAATAAATGCAAACAGTAAAAACACAGTTTTCTGTTTTACATTTCAACTTATACAAAGGTGATTTATGTATAATGAATAAATGTTTGTTCGCATTGATAGGTACCCGATCATATAGATCCCGACCGGAAAACAAATCTCGGGGCAATTATCCCTTATTCATTACGTATTTTCTAATAATGTTCACAATCATTGCACCAACAGCTTAAATTACAAAAACTGACCTATGGTTACCATCCCTGGAGTTGACATCCATTCCCCCTCGCTGGGCTCTGGCCAACGAGGCTCACCTGTGTGTACAGCTTCTGCAGCATTTCGTTTACGCCGGGCGCATTCACATCGGTATTGCACACGAATTTGAGTGACGTGGGCGTCTCAAACAGGGTCATCTTGTACTTATTGGTGGTGTAGCACTGGACTCCCTCCTGGACGTCCAGTGGTGAGATCCGGTTGGAGAACGACTTCAGAGAGAAGAGCATGCCATACAGCAGGCGAGACTCCTGGGGTAAGAGAAGCAGACAGTGACCATGACATGGCGGCAGTAGGTACTCACAAGTATCAGCAGCTAAGCCAGGAAAGTACAGGGTATTGCTATTGTAATCCTATTTGGCTGGAGTCTGCAATGGAAGCACAATGCACAGTTGACCTTCCTTTCCTGGTTCAAAGTAGTCTAGACGGTCTAGACAATGTCAAAGGACAAACAGAATTGTCAAATGAATGAGATGAGGAGCATAAAAAAAGAAAAGAAAGACAGCAACATGATTACAACCATTTACACTGCAAACAGGCAACATCAGCATTAGAAGGTAAAGCCAAATTACACACATGACGATTGTGAAAGGTACCTGTGACGAGGTTGTCAAATCTGTCAGGGAAATCAAACCAGCTGAAACTTCAGCACCAGCAGTGAACATAGGATCTCAGGCAGCCAAGGAGATTGCAAGTATCTTTGACAGCCACAATGACAAAGAAAGGAGGAAGTGCAATGTGGTGGTCCACAACTTGCCAGAAGACGATCAAGGCCAAACACCGGCTGAGCGTATTGATAGGGACAAAGTGGAATTCATCAAGCTGGTCAGAGAGGAACTAAAACTCAACATCAGAGTTACGAAAGCCTTCCGAGCTGGCAAAGTGCAACCTGGCAAACCTAGACTCTTGATTGCTACACTGGAAAACGTAGAGACTAGGATTGAGCTTCTCAAAAGTGCGAGGCAGTTGAGGGACAGTGCCAGGTGGAGCAACATATATATCTCTCCTGATTTGACCTTCAAGGAAAGAGAAGCGAACCGAGTATTGAGAGCTGAACTCAACAGCCGCAGGATGGCTGGAGAGAAAGAGCTGTACATCTTCAAGGGCAGGATCATGAAGGGATCTGCCAAACCCATCACACATGACAAGACCAGCTCAGATACTACCGCAGCCAAGACTGGTGAAAAAGCTTCAGTCGCACCAGAAGTCTCAAGCTCCAACAGGCAACAAAGTCAACCTGTAGACTCTCTCGTCCAAGAACAACCAGCTCTGAATGCTCCCAGCCATGCTGGTAGTGGGTCTTCCGGAAGCAGACCACGTCAGTATTGACATACTGACTCAGCGGACAGTGCACAGTTCAAGGTGTTATACACAAATGCCGACCAGTTTGTTAGTAAGCGGGACGACCTGTGCATGGCTATCTGTGACAATATGCCTGATATAATTATGATCACGGAAGTCATCCCCAAAGCTCAGACTCTTCCTATCTCACCTGCTTTGTTGCACATCCCAGGCTTTACAATTTTCAGCAATTTTGACCCCTCACATACAATGCTTGGAAAAAGTGGGAAGAGGGGAATATGCATATATGTGTCCAGCTCACTCATTGTATATGAAGTACCATTCCCCGAACGTGATGTGGAGCAGTTGTGGCTCAAAGTTGGCCTCCATGGACAGGATGAGTTGTTGCTTGGATGCATTTACCGCAGTCCCTCCGGGCCCATACAGGAAAGCACTGAACAGCTGTCAAGTACATTGAAAGAGGCATGTAATCATGGAGCATCCCACCTGATGATTGCGGGAGATTTTAACCTCCCCCAAATTAACTGGGAAAGCGAGGTGTCCACAGCCCCTGAGACTCATCCTTCTCATGCTGTCATTGAATGCATTCACGACTGCTTTCTTTACCAACATGTTCGAGAGGCGACACGATACCGAGTGGGTGAAGCTCCAAGCACTTTAGATCTTATACTAACCAATGAAGAGGGCATGGTAAGAAATGTTGAATACCATCCCTGCCTGGGAAACAGTGATCATGTAGTTCTTCGTTTTTCACTGGTATGCTACTCAGCAGCCAAAATTCTTCCCAAGGACCAGAGGTGCCGTGTGGACTTCAATCAACTGGCTTCTACCCTAGCCTCCATCGATTGGGGCCATATGACTTCCATGAACTTGACTGACGCTTACTCCTTCTTCAAGGGCAAATGGGATTGGGCTGTCAAGCTGTGCACCCGAGCAGTGCCAACTGCCCTCAGGTCCAGAAACCTGTACATGGACAGGCAAGCCATCCAGCTGAAGAAAAAGAAGTCCCAGCTATGGAAGATCTACATAAGGTCTAAAGATGTGATCGATTTTGCCAGGTACGCAACGTGTCGCAACAGGCTTAGAACTCTAACGAGAAACCTTCGTAGGAGCTTCGAAAAACAACTAGCATCAAGGATAAAGGACGATCCAAAAGCTTTCTGGAGGTATACGTCATCAAGATTGAAAACAAGATGTGGAGTTGGTGACCTCAGGGACGAAAGGGGCGAAGTCGCTACATCAAATCATGAAAAAGCCTGTATATTGAACAGGTTCTTTGCCAGTAACTTCACAGAGGAAGGCAGCGATGATCTACCAGTACTGACAGTCGAGCCGGTTTGTCAACCAGCTGATGACATTGAGATCACGCCCGCGACTGTTGCTGAGAAGCTCTCCTCGTTGAAGACAACCAGTGCCCCAGGACCGGACTCCATTCATCCTAGAGCCTTGCGAGATTCTGCAAACGGCCTTGCTCTCCCGCTGTGCACTCTGTTCAGGAAGTCGCTGGACTCCGGAATCCTTCCTCCGGACTGGAAGACTGGGAATGTGATCCCGATCCACAAGAAGGGAGACAAACGGTCCCCGGGAAACTACCGGCCGGTGAGCCTCACCTCTGTCCCCTCCAAGATACTTGAGTCCATGGTGAGAGACCGACTGATCTCGCACCTGACTGACAATGACCTGCTGCACCCAGCTCAATATGGGTTTCTGCCGAAGCGGTCTTGTACTTCTCAGCTCTTGGAAGTTCTGGACGACTGGAGCGCAGCTATTGAGAATGGTAAACCAGTCGACGTATGCTACCTCGATTTTGCAAAAGCCTTCGACTCGGTCCCTCATAAGCGCCTCCTCGGGAAACTGATGGCATATGGCATCTCCGGCAAACTCCAACGGTGGATAGGATCATTCTTGACTGGCCGCTTGCAGAGGGTGCAGGTCCAGGGAGACGCATCAGACTGGTCCCCCGTTACAAGCGGAATCCCTCAAGGATCTGTCTTGGGTCCTACCTTGTTTATTATCTATGTTAACGACCTACCCGAATGTGTAACGAACTGCGTTCGGATGTTCGCCGATGACACCAAGATGTACTGCCGCGTTCCTACTGCGCTTTCCATGCCAACTCTTCAGCAGGACCTTGACGCCCTCCTTCGCTGGTCGGAAACGTGGCTCCTCCGCTTCAACGCAAGTAAATGCAAGATTATGCACATTGGGACCAGAAACCCTCGCATGCACTACAGCCTCGGAGACAGTGCCATCAGCGAGGCGACCGTAGAGAAGGACCTCGGCGTCATCATAGATCACCAACTCAAGTTTCATGAGCAGACAGCGGCTGCAGTGTCGAAGGCCTCTCAGGTGTTGTCGGTCATCAGGCGGTCATTTGCGAACCTGGACTCAAACACCCTCCCATTACTATTCAAGACACTGGTGAGACCGCTGTTGGAGTATGGGAACCTCGTATGGGGACCGTTTAGTAAGCTGGACCAGAAGAAGGTTGAGCGGGTGCAACGAAGAGCTACTCGCCTGGTACAAACTGTCCGACACCTGTCGTATCCAGAGAGGTTGCGCGCACTGAAGCTCCCTTCGCTATACTACAGACGTCAACGGGGTGATATGATAGCCGTCTATCAGATTCTGCATGGTGGCATGGCGGTCCCCACCGAGAAGCTGCTCACCAGATCAACTTCAGGAAGAACAAGAGGCCATGAGTGGAAACTAGCGAAACCGCGGGCCACGACGTTCATCCGAAGACACTCTTTTAGTACACGTGTTATTAACCCATGGAATGCTCTCCCGCAAGCGGTCGTATCAGCTACGTCAGTCAACCAATTCAAGACCAGGCTGGATGCCCACTGGGCTGACATCATGCAAAGCCTTCCCACCTGAACCCGATCTTACCCAACCTGAGGCTGACTGTCGATAAGCACTGGGAGCTCGCTGAGACCGGGCCCCACAGGCCAAATTGGCCTCCCACAACCCGTATACCGTAAGGTAAGGTAAGGTAAGGTATGACACATATTTACACATGTGTATGGCATTCATGATTCATTAGATGAGTAAAATTTAAAGTGTCTTGATAACTTTGTGCAACATTTTTGGGACATTTTTTTAAAACTCTATAAATTGAAATTTACAAGTAAAGCACCAAATACTACAAAATCAGACCCAACATCAACATAGCACTGCAGCAGCGGCGTATTTAGAAAATCGCGAAGGGGGGGGCCAAGGGTTTGGAGGGCGCCACCTCACCCAAGGAGGGCGCCATACGGTCGCGAGATAAAAAAATCGCTCAATGGGGGTTGGGGGGTTGGGAGGCGTTTTTTACCATGCCACCAGTTTTTTTTTTTGCGTAACCTCGTATAGGTCGTGCTGCATTGATTTTGCATCGTGTGTATTCATTATACTCCAGGTCACAAAAGGTCAAGTGTTCTTGAAATGCTGCGCCGAAGGCGCGCGAAATTTTTGAAAACAACCTTTTCCTCCGCTTTTTAGGCACGCCTTTTATACGATCACTGTTCAAAGCTCCTCTCGCTCTTTTACCAAATTTGAAGGTGTAAAAAATACCTAAGGTTTGGTCGGGCCGCTGCCACACAAACTGTACAGAAAGCTTGGCTCATGGGTGTCGATGTATAAAAGTTTATTGGCGGTGGCATATCTACGCACCAGATCACCGTATCGGATTGATACCGGAGCGCGAGATGCGTAAACATCATCCAAATTACCTCAGACCAGCCTTCATAGCCTTCTCACAGATGCATACACACAGTGTACCCACATAACCAGTTTCAATCACCGAAACTTCAGATGCCTGCTGTTGCGCCCGAACCTGTTGACAATACTTAATCGTAATCCATATAGATGCCATGATGCACGTAAAGTAGGATCAATCCGTTAAGACCAAAGACGTGTTTTATGCATCGTAGAGCGTAGATAGTTTTGGTAGGTATAGATACTTCATTCATTGTGCTGAATGCACGTTCATTTGTGGCAGTTTTCACAGGCAAGACATCAACTATGTGCAATAGAACGACTAAGTTGAAAAACATGCCAAAGGAGTAAATAAATGATAGGAGGGCAGCGATCAACGGATGTTGCCAATAGGTAGAAGGGCTGCGATCCACAGGAGGGCACTAATAGGTAGAAGAGCCCCGATCAACATCCCGAGTTTCGACAGTAGGGCACCGATAGGTAGGAAGTTGGCGAGCAGCAGGAGGGCGCCAATGGATAGAAGGGCAGCGATCAACAGGAGGGCACCAATAGGTAGGAGGGCGCCGATCAACAATCAACAGGAGGGCGCCACCAGGTAAGAGGGTGGCGAGGAACAGGAGAGCACCAATAGGAGGGTGGCGATCAACAAGAGGTCGCCAATAGGTGGGAGGGCGGTCATCAACTGGAAGTCGCCAATGAGCGGAAGGGTGACGATTAAAATGGGGGTGGCAATGGTGAGGAGGGCGCCTTTGCTCAAGAGGATGACACGAACAGGAGGGCGTCTGTGCGGAGGGCGCTGGTCAACAGGAAGGTGCCAGTGGATAGGAGGGCGGTGATCAACAGGAGGGTGCCAGTGGTTAGGAGGGCGGCGATCTACACGAGGGCCCCAATAGGAGAAGGGCCCCGATTAACATTCAACAGGAAGGACTAGGGAACCAATAGGTAGGAGGGCGGCACTGAACAAGAGGGTGCCAAAAGGGAGAAAGGCGGCCTTCAAAATTTCACATGAGGGCTCAATAGGTAGGAGAGCGCCAATAATTATGAGGACGCCGATCAGCAGAAGGGCGGCAATGTGTAGCAGGGTGGCGACCTACAGGAGGGCGCCTTCGGGTGAGAGGGCGTTTATTTACAGGACAGCGGCTTACATAGGCGACCACCGTTACGCTTAGAGAGCTACAGCCTACAAATGTGGTTGGAGGGCGCCCGAGGGAGCCCTCCAACCGTATTTGGAGGGCGTATTTGGAATGGGCGTCCTCCGAGGGCGCCCTCCATCCGTATTTTCCCTGTAAACACATTCGCGATTGGAGGGCGCCCTCCAGTCGCGATTGTTTTTCGATTCGATTATATCACAATTGCATTTGCGATTGGAGGGCGCCTTCGGCGCCCTCCAATCGCAAAGGGCGCCTTCGGCGCCCAAGGGGGGGGCCATGGCCCAGTGGCCCCCCCCCTGCCTACGCCCCTGCACTGCAGCATATTAGTTGCTCCCGAACAATAGCTTCATCTAAATGTTTATTATACCATTTCACAAAATAAATATAGCAGGTATACGCAGTGTAGTCTCATCTTAAAATGAACTGACTTCACTTATTTCAGTCACCTCTGGCATCTCATTCTCATGCATGCATCTGCATGCACGCATTGACAGCATTGGTGGGCATACATGGCACATAGGTAAACCCCATCGACTTACCTCTTCCAAAGACATGGTCATGGGTTTCTTCCTTGACCATTCTTGATAATATATCAATGTTCCAGCCCGATTATATATGTAAAGATTGTACACAGTCATTTTGTATCAAAGTAACCCAGCGATATATAAAAACACAACATGTACACAGCGTTACCGCTGGCGTCTCGCTGGTTTCCCCAGATTCTCACGAAAATTTCCCTATTTTGAAAATCATTTCCCTAGATGCGGCTATTTTCCTGGAATTTGACGTACTTTCGTCATTTTAACCATTCGTGTTATAGCCGCTGCGTCGTAAACAGCAATTAACTACATTCTATTTCTGTTACGTTAACGTAAGAGATTGTAATGAAATTGCTGGCATATAGCAAATTACTGTATGTGGTTTAACCCTCGCCCGTATTGGTGCTTTCCAGCCGCGAACGTATAAGGGGGGGGGGGTCCGTTGGTCCCCTCCCCTTTTCCGTTTCGCCCCTGATCGAGCTAGAGCTTCGCGGAAAAAAACGAGCGTGTTGCCCGTGACGAGAGGAAGCCGATGATACCTAATTTTAAGATCCTAGGTCATTGGTTGACCTTGCAGGTCAGGTCAATGACCCAAAAGTCGGGAAAATCGGGACCTGTTAGAACGTCGTAAAGTGTGGCTGCTATGGGGTTTTTCAGGGCGCTGATCACGAATATCATGTTAGGTTTGATCACAGATGATGTCTTTATGCATTTAGTCCAGGTCGGGTCAGGTCCGGTCAGGTCAACCAGTATTCAGGTCAGGTATTCCTAGTACCTAGGTGTCAACCGCCTCTGACAGCTTCGTAACATGTTATGAAGGTACCAAAACTACTTCGTAAACGTTCATATGGTTGCTAAATTCGAATTCAGCTCCAAAAACTGGCCTAGAAACATGTAAAACTCGAAAAAGTGAACCGAGGTCACAAAAGGTCAATGACCTGACCTGACCTTCAGGTGACCTTGACACCCACCCTAATGCATGGGGGCAACATCATATCACATGTTTGAACGCTTGAAACCAAGAAAAGACTGCAAACGCGCGGCTAATGCGAGCCGACATACGCCGAATCGCGATTCCGGCCAAACATTGTCTCGAAAAGTAGGTCACAGGTCAAAGGTCATTGGGGTCAGGGTCATGAAATTTTCAGAGTAGGTGTAAAATTGATTAACGCGAGGGTACTGAAAGTTTCGTCGCGATCGGCCGCTTTTTACGCGAGTTATTCGCGAAAAACCATGGGGGGGTCCGTTCGACACCCCCTATACGGGCGAGGGTTAATATAAGTGCGTGGTATATCGCAAACTGTGGTGTGTTGCAGGAAGCGGGAAACTATACCGTACAAGGCCATCTATAGAAGGTACAGTCACTCCCCCGCCGACCAATCAGAGACAGATCCTGAGTGACGTCACCCCTGACCTGATGCTCGCAAGGGGTACTCCATTCCTTTACAACGTAAAAATGACTAACTTCATTTGAAGATTGTTGGTGACACTCGACACATATTGCTCAACCGTTGCTGTCATTGGAAAGTCCAACTAATTTTCTAGCGATAAAAAAGAGCAACAATATGCTAAGAAATGGCCGGTTTTGAAGATATAGACGATTTACAAATCCTCTGCAGTTGCAGGAAAGCAACGTAAAACGTATCGAGCTTATATTTTTACGAATAAATCATTTTTCAGTACGTTTTTAGATATGGTATCGATTTAATCAACTTTATTACAATATTTTTATTACTTGTGACTTTATTTCAAAATAACATTTTCAAAAATGGCAACTGTTGGCAAATATTAGGTCGTTCAATAAGTAACGAACAATCGGTCATAACTTCTTTATTTCTTTATTCAACACCTTCAAACTTTCACAGATTATAGATCAAATGTTTCTGAATGTAGCCTTTGCCTCAAACCAGTCGCCGCCCGCCTGCACACACTTCTACCAGCGTTCCGGCCAACGCCGGAATTCCGCCCGGAAAAACAAGTTTTCCGTCTTTTTCACCCAGTTCTTGACAGCGCACCTGACTTCAGCGTCGGTCTCGAAGTGTTCACCAAGGAGGCCATCCTTCAGGGGACCAGAGGTGAAAATCTGAAGGAGCCAGGTTCGGACTGTTGGGCGGCTGGGGCATGATATTCAGCCCGGTCTCGCGATCTCCTCGCGTGTGGCGTGAGACATGTGGGGACGAGCGTTGTCGTGGTGTCATCCTGGTGGGCTTTCTTGAACCTGGGCGGACTATGGACAGCGGGCCGCTACACCACAGTCCTGCAGGAGACTGAGAAAAGCAATCCTGAAGAAGAGGCGCGGCTCGGATGTCGACAACATCATCATACACCATGACAACGCCCGACCGCACTTGTCTCACGCCACGCGCGAGGAGATCGCGTGACAGGGCTGAATATCATGCCCCAGCCGCCCTACAGTCCGGACCTGGCTCCTTCAGATTTTCACCTCTTTGGTCCCCTAAAGGATGGCCTCCATGGTGAACACTTCGAGACCGACGCTGAAGTCATGTGCGCTGTCATGAACTGGGTGAAAAAGACGGAAAACGCGCTTTTCCGGGCGGAATTCCGGCGTTGGCCGGAACGCTGGGAGAAGTGTGTGCAGGCGGGCGGCGGCTGGTTTGAGGCATAGGCTGCATTCAGAAATGTCTGATCTATAATCTGTGAAAGTTTGAAAATGTTAAATAAAGAAATAAAGAAGTTATGACCGATTGTTCGTTACTTATTGAACGACCTAATAGCTTTGAAGCGATTGTGGCGCACCGCGCCATTATTGTCCTGAGGCCCCCTTATGATGTCATCAAAAGTGGAGTGACATGGGCCTGGAATACCGTATAGGTAGTGCTGGCGATAAGAGACCAGTCGATGCATTATTTCGCCCATGCCGTCAGTTTGACAACGAGAGTATTCAAACTCTCGAGAGTATTTCAGAGAGTGAAATACTCTCGAGTAACGAGAGTATTTCAAACGAGAGTATCAAACCTGAATTTTGTGAAAAATGTTCTCATATTTATTTCATATGACGTGCGGACTGCGGAAGAATAATTCATGACAACAATGATTTCGATTGTTGAAAAAACAATTTTTCGAGTTTGTGGCATTTCCCTAGATTTCGTGGCAAATCCATATATCCCTAGATCTTCGCTGATTTCCATAGAAAAGGGAAATTTCCCTAGCAGCGGTAACCCTGCATGTACATACCGGCCCCCAGTCAGAGTCGTTGGTAGCGTCAAGCGCCGGTGACGTCACGCGCGCTTGACTTTTCCCTTCACTTTTCCCTTCACCATTGTTAACAATGGGGGAAACGGCAGTTTTGGCCCAACTTCGATTTAAGATATTTTGCTTGAAATTGAGAATACAAATATGAAATTTGGGGCATATTGAAGCATAATTAGTCCTTTTTCCAGATCCGTATCGATTTTTGCCATGTCTTGATTGCAAACAGGGAAAAAATCGCAGTATTTAACACTCAGTCCGCCTATCCTTTAAGATGGGCATACGTGGTTCTAATGGGTTTATTCATTCTGGACATGGCGTTACGTGCTTGCGGTTCTGGCACCACTGTTTGGACAATGGAAGATTGCACCAAAGTTCTGACATTGCTTCATTTCGCTTCATGTCACCTACTCAGGTCACGTGATCCGGCCCGCGCGGGGCCGCTAGGGGGATATCATATATGGGGTGCTTTCGGTATCCGGAAAATATTGTCCCTCGGATATTATCCGTCGGAAAATTATTGGTGAGCGCCTATCTTCAGCATGTCTCGTTGTCGCGATACCGAACGTGATCCCCGATAATTCTCGCTGATCCCGGTTAATTATCCCCGATTTTCCGGATGCCGAAAGCAGGGTTGGACATCCCCTCGGTATCTTTTATGATAGCGGAGAGACGGCGGCGCCCAGCATTCGTGTTTAGGCATCGAGTTCGCATTAACGTATTGGGCGCCGCCGCAATACGTTATATATATATATATATATATATATATATATATATATATATATATATATATATATATATATATATATATATATATATATATATATATATATATATATATATATATATATATATATATATATATATATATATATATATATATATATATATATATATATATATATATATATATATATATATATATATATATATATATATATATATATATATATATATATATATATATATATATATATATATATATATATATATATATATATATATATATATATATATATATATATATATATATATATATATATATATATATATATATATATATATATTATATATATACACATGACACAAGTATTTTTAATGCCTTGTACCTGTACAGGTATTGTATATGTACAGGTATTACGCGCTCAATAACTACACGTTAGCTCGTACGGCATAACAAGCCCTTCGTTTGTTGCATCTAAAACACGAACACACGCAATATTTTTGCATCCAATTGCTCTGGTTTTTGTCGTTAATAAGTCACTGAATTAGTCCGATTATCGATTATCACAATGCGCATTATAGAAAAGTTATCAGGAACAGAGCTGTATTCAGCGAGGGGAGGGGTTCGTGGGTACACGAAATCACATCTCCATCACATCACATATCATCTTACATCAGACGACATCACATCTCTCCCTTGAGACAATTGTTGCGGACAATAACGGAAATCAACAAATACTGTGCAACATGAAGCTCAATTGTCCCCTCGCCCGCGGTAAGAGATTGCGCCCCACCGAACTTGGAGGCGACGCCGCGCGAGGCGCCTTCGGCGTGAGCGTCGGGGTGCGTCGGGGACAGCCTCTACCGCAGGTGGCTGCTGGGCGCCGGCGGCGGGCAGAGGCGGCGCTGGGCGGCGGCAGCGGTGCCGCCAGCAGGCGCTGGCCGTCGATCATCGCAGATGTGTGCAACATAAAATGGCACGTTGCCAGCTAACAGTCAAGCTAGTTTAAGGAAAATGAATCATGAAAACGATACATCACGACACAGTCGAGAACAATTAAGGCTCCTAAGCGACATCACATCATTTCCGCCCTCACTGTACACGGACGCATTTTCAAGCACCTGTCACAAATTGGACCCAGTTCGCCGTGTGGAGACGGTAGCTAGCAGAAGGTCTGGAAACTCGATTCAGGCACAAACTGAACGACTACCCAGCTGTAACAAAAAAGAAAGGCTCAAGA